CTGTCAATTTCTTCCGGTTCTTGTCGATTATCCTCAAACAGATCTGTTATGTATATCTTAATTTTTTTTAATTTCTCTTTCATTTCTATAATGATTTTTCCATTTGCGTCTTTCAGAACGGCATCTTTCTTTTTTCTCAGTGTATTTGTCATTTCCTTTATTTTCTTATGCATATTAAAGCTATCATACTGTTTAGCATATGCCTCTATTTCACTGCACTGATTAGCAAGCCAGGTGGATTTGGCCTCTTTTATTTTCTTTCCTATCAATCTCTGTAGTTCCTTGTATTTTGCTTTACTCCTGCCTTTATGATTCCTTCTTTCCTCCATTAGATCTAAGATTTCTGAAGTCATCCATCTCTGTTTTTTCTGTACCATGTTCCATTTGTCATTAACATCTGTTGTTTTTATCACGTCTTGTTTGATTTTCTTTAAGTTATCATTTATTTCTTGTTTTAAGCTCTGACGCATAGGTTCTTCTTTTATATTTGAGACATCAAACCGTGGTATATTTGTTTGTTTTTGGATATTCTTCAATTTTATTTGCATTACGCCTACTAATGGATTATGGTCTGAATTTATGTCAGCTATTTTATCTGTAAACAGTTTTAATTTTGAATTTTTTTTGTACTACATATCTTCTTCTTCTTAAGGTGCCTTCTCCATTACTGAAGGTTGGCTATAACTACAGCAAATTGCTCTCTATCTTGAGCTGTTCTTAGTATCGCATGTGTGTCCATGCCTGTCCAGTCTCTTATGTTCTTCAACCAGGAGCATTTTCTTCTTCCTGGACCTCTTCTTCCTTCCACTTTCCCTTCCATTATAAGTCGTAGGAAGTTGTATTTTTCTCCTCTGTAGATATGTCCTAAATAACTCGTTTTTCGGTTTTTTACAATATTTAGGAGTTCTCTGTCAGTACCCATTCTTCTTAGCACCTCGTTGTTGGTCACGTGCTCTGTCCAAGAGATCTTCAGCATTCTTCGAAAAACCCACATCTCAAAGGCTTCTATACGCCTCATACTTGTAATTCCGAGAGTCCATGTTTCCACTCCGTATAGCAATATGGAATAAATAAACGTTTTTACAAATTGGTATCGGATGTCCAACGATAACGTAGAGTTTATTAGAAATTTTTTCATTCGCTGAAATGCGGACCTAGCATATTCTATACGAGCACGTATTTCGACCTCGTGGTCAAGATCGTTTGTTATCCAGCAACCAAGATACTGGAATCTTTGTACTGGTTCTATATGTTTGTTATAGATACGAATATTAATGTCGACATTTGGTGCACGTGTAACAGCCATCACTTTTGTTTTATTTGTGTTTATATTTAGTCCCAAGCTATCTCCCTCTCTGGTTATGACATTCAAAAGTCGTTGTAAACCCTCAGCACTGTCCGCAATAATGACGGTGTCGTCTGCGTATCTTAAGTTGTTTACGTATTCTCCGTTGATTTTTATTCCTTCTTCAATATTTTCGAGGGCATTTTGAAAGATCTTTTCGGAATATATATTAAATAACAGTGGAGAAAGTACACAGCCCTGACGAACTCCTCTTTTTATTGGCAATTCTGCTGTCAGACGATTGTCTATTTTGATAGATGCCATTTGATCCCAATATAGTTTTTTAATAAGTGCTACAGTGTTATGGTCTATACCATGTTGTGTTAGGGTTTCTATGAGTTCTGTGTGTTTAACTCGATCAAACGCTTTTTCGTAGTCGATAAAACAGAGAAAGACGTCTTTTCGCTGATCTCGGCATTTTTGTAGTAATACCTGGAGGCCAAATAATGCCTCCCTTGTACCAAGCCCCATACGAAATCCAAATTGATTGTCGCTAAGGTTTCTTTCGCATTCTCTGAATATTCGTTGATGTACAATTTTGAGTAAAATTTTCAGAAAATGGCTCATCAGGCTAATTAATCTGAACTGTGAGCATCTATTTGCTTTATTTTTCTTGGGTATAGGTATAAATGTCGATCTAAGCCAGTCTTCTGGGAAGATTCCAGTGGTATATATTTTGTTAAATAATATTGTTAATGTCTGAAGATTTTCTTCATTGATGAGCTTTATCATCTCTACGTATATTTCATCTGGACCTGAGGCTTTTCGTGACTTTGCCGTATTGATTGTTTTTGTAACTTCAGATGTTAATATATCTAGTATTGTTTCTTGTACTATATTCATTTGTGGTTCTGTTCTCTCGTCATCAAACAGATCTTCGATGTATTTTTCCCACATGTCTCCTACTTCTTCTGGACTAGATACTATTTCGTTGTTATCATCTACTAAAGTTGTTGTAGTGATTTTTTTCTTCATATTTGTGACTTCCTTAATCTTTTTGTAGGCATTAAAGTAGTCATGCTTTTTTAGTAAATGTCCCAGTTCCTCACACTTGCTGCTCATCCATTCTTCTTTGGCTTTCCTAATTTTGTTTCGGATGATTCTCTGGGTTTCTTTATATTTTTCTACATTACGATTTTTGTAAGATCGCCTTATGTCCATCAGTTCTAGGATTTCTTCTGTCATCCATGTATTCTTTGTTTTTCTGGTGCTGTCTTGTAGTTGTTCTCTTTGTATAGTTGTCATCGTTGTTTTGAAGGTGTGCCAAATACTTTCTATTGTCTCTTCTGCTTCCGCGGGGGTTTCACTGAACTTTTCTTTGAGTGTATCATTGAGTTTTTTCTCTATTTCTGCCTGTACTATTGGGTCTTTAAGTTTTTCTAGGTTAGGTTTTATATTCTTTCTGTATTTGATTTTTTTTAGTCTAATTAAAATTTTACCAACAACAGGATTGTGGTCGGAACCGATGTCCGCCCCGGGATATGTTTTAACTCCCTTGATTCCATTTCTATAACGTTTCTCAATTAATATATAGTCAATCTGGTACTACATATAAATAAAATTTATTTTAAAAAACACGTTGGGGAACCTAGCCTTAACATAACCTCTATGCCTCGTGTTGCATTCAAACTTTAATAAACATAGATTATGTAGATAGAATATTTTGGTTAATTCATTTTTTTTTTACTTTAAATTTGTTTTAATAATTAAATTCATATAGATTTGTGTAACTGATATTGTCCTTGTCATAGCTATTTTTTTTATAATTATTAATTTTTCGAACTTCAAGACAAGGCAAAGCTTATGCTGTCAAGTAACACAAGAGGTCTTGTAGTTTTTTTTATTATTGGGCTTTTGTTTCCTTGTTGGTGGGACTACCCAATTAACACTCCGTGGTGCTCACCACAACTGCTTAAATTAAATTAATGTAGCATGTCAACATCAATGGTACTACCACTTTAGTCAACAGCAATGCTGCTACCAGTCAGCCAACATCAATGCTGCTGCTACTACAGCCTACATTTATCTTCATGTGAAGCTACAACCCGCTCTCCTCCAGAAGTCACAGTATCTCTGTATTAGCCTTAAGTGTATTTTGCATTTATTTTTTTGTAAAACAGGATTTGATTTTTTTATATTTAATAAATATGATTAGTTAATATAATCCTTTATTTGACCCTTCAAAATTTCTCGTTGTATTGCATTCATCATACAACCTCTTCTGTCCACTGCTGGACATAGGTCTCTCCCATTTTTCGCCACGTTTCACGGTTCTGTGCGTCTTGCTGTCATTTCTTGGTTCATCTTGAGTCTTTTAGTCTCGCTATGTGACCTGCCCAATTCCATTTCAGCTTGGCTATACATTCGACGACATCAGTGATACCTGTTCCTTTCCTTAGGTCTTGATTCCTTATTTTGTCTCTTTTCTTTATTGTCACGCCGAGAATCGATCTTTCCATGCGCCTTTGTGCCACTCGCATTTTTAGTGCTGTTGTTTTTGTGAGAGTGAGAGTTTCTGCTCCGTATTCATAATAGGAAGAATGCATTGGTCTTCCGTTTCATAGCCATCGGGATGTTGCTCTTAAAGATGTCTCTTAGTGAACCATACGCCGACCAAGCAAGTGTTATTCGTCGTTGAAATTCACAGGTCTGATTATCCTTGCTTATTCTGATTTCATGACCGAGATATATAGACTTTTCTGTCAATTCTACCACTTGATTTTGGCTGGTTAGGTGTTCACTGGGAACAAAATTTGTCATAAATTTGGTCTTATTGATGTTCATTTTTAGACCTATTGTTGAAGATATGTTTATTAATTCTTGTAGCATTTGTTGTGCTTCATACAGATCTTCGGTAATAAGTACTATATCGTCGGCAAAACGTAGATGATTAAGCATTTCCCCGTCTATTTTTATTCCTCTATTTTCCCACTTTAGCATTTTAAAGGCGTATTCGAGGACCGAGAGTGTCGCCCTGTCTCACACCTTGCTTTATATGAATTTCTCTGGTGGTAACATGTAGTTTTACACGTATTGTGGCGTTTTGGTACAATGTTTGTACTAACTATGTAAGCCGGTAGTCTATTCTACTATTGTTCAGAGCAGTTATAATAGTGTCTAATTCCACGGTATCGAAGGGTTTATGAAAGTCTTCGAAAATAAGTACCAGTGATCTGTTACATTCTATCGATTTTTCTATTAAGGTTTTTACTGTTTGTAGGTGATCGTTTGTTCCTAATTTTGAGCGGAAGCCAACTTGTTCTCGTGCTGGTAGAAATCCAACTTTGATTTAAGTTAAGACATATCTACACCTTAGTTGAATCCCTAACAATAAAACTGGCATCTTAAGTGTCATTTTATAGTCACATGACTGAAGTGTTGTTAAACAATTGACACCTAAAGATCTAGATGCTTGCTTTATTGTTTACACATTATACAAACTACACAGAGGTATAAATTTCTAGTATTATGCAGACTAAAACAAGTTGGTACGAGTTTAATTCTCTGTTGGTTCCTTCGATACTCCATAGTATCAATTTACTTGTGCGTAATAAATATTTGACATGATTAATAATTCTTAAATGTAGGTTTTTTCCTTCAGCAATTCTATTAAAAGGTCATATATGTACAAGTTTTAAATTATTATAGAGCATACCTTGCAAAAATGGAGCTTCATCTTCAACCAACTCAATTTCAATATCGGCCTCTCCATCTTCATCCTTGGGTAACAATCCAGTTTCTTCATCAAAGTCAGGTAACTCACTCTTAGCAATACATCCTGATGAAATCATCTGTTTTATTTCCCATCTCTCGGGACTTGAAATTCTTGTTACTCTTTTCCGGGAGTCTTCTTCTCCTTCATCTATTAACAGAATAAAAGAGGATTAGAATGAATGAAAAAAAAACTACCTCTAAAATGAATGACCAATATTTGAATACGAATAAATTAATACACAAACCAAAGTATATGCAGATTTTTAAGAGGGACGATCAATTAATGGTTATCTTGTCAACCGAGATAATCTCAAAAGAAAGATAATGGCAACTTATCTCAAAATCTACTATAGAAAGTTTTACCGGTGACCAAATAATTCCAGTGCAACATTAATTTCAATAATTCCTAATGAATTCGTAATCAATACAGTTCAGAATTAGGGATGCTATATATCCCTCACACTGTTGTAAATTGTATGACACAAGTATTATTATCACAGAAAAGGGCATGTCAAAATATTACCACAATTTAAAAAATAATGTTCTTTACACATTTTCTCACTGCACAAACATCAACTTCACCTCAGTGGTGATGAGGCGGAAATAGATTATGTGGCTTGGATGGAGAAAGGTACCTGAACAGATAACCTTTATGCCAGTAAATAAAGCTCTGGCGTACGCTAATACTGGGCCTAACGGCGTGAAAGTAACACAGAAAGATACGAGTTATGGACCAATAATACTGAAGAACTTCAAAAAATAAAAAAGAATCAGCCCAGAATTATAACAGCCTTCCTTACTGGATATGTGCTAGTCAAGGGACACCTGCACACCAATGGGGCTAATTCATGTAGACTTAATCTGCAGCAGAAAACCTGAAACAGTCATTTGCATCACTATGAGGTATCATAGTGCAAGCGGCAAAGACTTTTTAGGCTGGGCTTGTACAAGGTGGTATAGGATTCCAGAATTCTGGAATGGGTATCATGAATAAATGGAAAATGTGTAACAAGCTAAAAACTGTTGTGAACACTTCACTGTATGAATTAGATGATAGATATGTAAAATATGTGTTCATACAAAGGGAAACCGAATAAATATGTGGTATACTTAAATGGTATATTACTTCAACCATATATCACCTGTCAACAGTTGATATAGATTTCAAACCTTTAGTCCAAAATAATTATACTAAGTATTTTACTGAATACTCAAATTAGCCAGCAGCTAAATGATTATTGACATACATATAGGGTTTTTACTTGGAATGACACAACTGCCCTCAATTATAAAGATATATGAAGATATGTAACCCAGTGGTATCGTTAGCATACGTGATGACTATATTAATTTAAGTTTACCAAGAAAGAATTGTCTAACCTAATCTATCTAAGTTTAGATTTGCGTATCTTTATGGATATTCTTAATAAGATAAACCTAAATAGTTTATGGATTAGTATTCTTATCAATTTTTGTTTGTTAATACAAGCTCAAAAATAATCATAAGTGAAAAAAAAAATACACAAACACATTGGACAAAAATAATAAATAATAAAAAATAATAAAAAGTTAGAACATGATGCATTAAAATTAGAATACTAGAAAAAACTTTGGGAATTGTTCAACAAAATATATATTAGAAGGTGGCGTTTACAAAAATTTGAAGCACAACTTAATAATGATGTTCAAAATATCTCCTACAATGTAACAATATTCTTTGAAGACAATGCTCTAGTAGTAAGAGTTATACTATAAAAGCAAATAAAGATATATTTACCTATGTTTACTGGAAGTCTCAACACAGATGTACTGCTGTTTACAGGCCTGTCAGGATTTCTATCCCTATCTTCTCTTTCAGTTGGAGCATGAGAATGTGGGTTAAGGTCTTTACCAGTAATCTGACAGACATCTTTCATAGATAATGACACCTTCTGGCCTGTTACTGTCAATACTTTGACCTGAAAATATAAAAAGTACTATTTGAAGTATCCAAATACTTAAAAATGTGAATTAAACCAATAATTAATTGACACATCGAATGCAATATGGTTGGATGGAATGGATATTGTAAATACCTAAAACTGTTTGAGTTTTCAAATAATTTATAAACTAAAAATAAATTGTAGCAAAAATTTAAACAATAAATACCTTTAAAGTGTGTGTTGGAGTATAAAACTATTTCTGAATAATCTCTCAGTAAACATTTAAAGACTGAATAGACAATGTGTAAAGATTTGCTAATGTTCATTCGAAGCTGCTGCTAAAACGTCTTACTATGAAGCAGTTAAAGGAATGGGATGAATATTTCGGAGGTTCCAAACAGGTTCTTCAGGAACAATTGAAAAAAAGTCATCTCACCAATGGAGAAGATCGAATTCTAGTCAACTGATGAAGCAATAATGAAAAAAAAAAATCAATGAAATGTCTTAAAAATTTTCAGCTGTAAATAAAACTACTGGCCTGATATTGGTCATATAGTAATATGTTATGAAAAGCTATTTTCTTGTGACATCTTAATACAATTTACTATTTTTACTGAAAATTAACCACAATTTTAGTTTAAAATATGTGGAAGAGATATCTCATACTAATTGAATTTTAATTTGTTACCAAAATGATAAAGTTTAAAAATATAAATATGGGTGAATAGATACAACAGGAATAGAGATTGCAATTACTGGATCCAGCATCCACTTTGATAACAGCCGACACAACCTTGAAATTTGTCTTAGACAAACTAAATAAACAGGACTCTAGCCTTAGTGCCGAGCTATCGGAAGCACTACGCAATAGAATCGCGGAACGGCGCCTCTCTGAAATTACAGGTAGGTACATTAGTGTACTTACAAAATCCAAAAAAGTATGACGAAGGACTAAACAATCCTGGTTATTTACTCATGCCGAAAAAGAATGCAATGCGACAAGAGATGAAAAATTTGTTATGTCATATAACTAAACAAGTGATTGTGGAAACAGTGCAAGAGGATATATTGGAAGTAGAAGATATGCCAGCTGATCCGGAGTCCATGAAGAAAACGAATTAATTTTAAAACCGGTTTCAAAACAGAAGATATTTTCAGTCACAGTTTGGAACAATTAATAATCCTGGACTTATCCAATTCATTACCAGAATTGGATACAATTACACCGCCTCTGGGAGTAATAATTGAAGACATACATTTGAACGATGAAGATATTTTACAAGGAGGAACTCTTTTAGAAGAAATAGCTGCCAAAGGAAACTAAACTCATGAGACAACTGGAAGTAATAATATGATATATTATTTTGAAAATTCAGAAATATGTAGCCCTAATGAATCTTTAGTAGAAATGAGTGAAGATCCTGAAAAAGGATGCCTACAAGAAATCACTGAAAATTACATGACTGATACACAGCCTGGGCAGGATCTTGATAAAAATTGATGAGATGATGAACAGCAGATAAGTTTTAGGCAAACGAAAAATAAATAAAAAGCCTCATAAACCAATGTGGAGGACAGAAAAGAGTAAAGAAAAAAGAATGAAGGGTGAAGAGTATTATGGAAGGGAAAAACATGAAGCTGGAAAAATTGTGTATGACGTCAAAAGGTCTAAAAGAGAAATGAAACCTCATTGTTTATGTAAACCTAAAAATAAGTCAGTTTTTCAATGCCTTATGCCGGGTCCAGACCAAGCAGACAAAACGAAAACGCAATTCTGAAACAAAAACACGATAAACCGGCGACAAAATTTGTCGTCGAAAGACAAAACAAAATTGAGACAAACTGTCCACACCAGAACAACAAAATATAAAAACAAAATTCAGTTGGTGACGTTGTTGTTGTGATTAGTGTTGGTTAACCATGGGGCGTTTTAATCAAGAAAAAAATGAAACTGAAGATTTATTGCTATCCGCAAGTTGTTTTTTTTTGCTCTCATCATCATCCCAGGTTGCTAAACGAAAACCCAAAAGTTTTTGGATTAGACCAAGCCTAAAAATGCGACATAACCAAACCATTTTGAACTGAAAAGTTTCCCAGTCCCAGATTTTTTAAGTTTCTTGTAGTTTCGTCTTTCTCTAGCATACTGGTTGTTAACATTCTTTATTTTCTTTTCAACATCATTTAGTGGCACATTTAGCGATAAAGAAATTTCCTTTAATGCATCGGCTTTCTTGTAGCGATTTTTATAATCTTTATTTTTAGGGTCCCATAATATCGGATGCTCCTTGTAAAGTTCTATTAACTTGCATGTATTTTGTGTATTCCACTTTTTGTCCCCCGACATGTTTAGAAAAATACACTAGTATTTATTTAATCACTACACAACAGAAAAATACACTTGATTTTGATAAAAATTGTACATTCTATTTCTCCTACTGCTTAACTCGTTTTGGCACGCACACGCGTCCACACTGCGTCGACAACTTGTCGTCAAAAACACAGACAAAACACAGACCTTTTGATCTTTACCGACCTGAGACGGGACCTGAAAAAGTTTTCAAATCTGCAAACAAAACAAAATTGTTTCAGAAATGTCTCAACAAATGTTTTCGATTTTTCGCCACTTTGTCGCGAAACATGAATGTTTTTGTTTTGTCTGCTTGGTCTGGACCCGGCATTAGAGTCACAGAAGAAATTAGGAAAACAATTTTTACAGATTATTGGCTTTTGAATTGGGACAAGCGCCGCATTTTCATTAAGCAATTAGTTGACAACAAAGAAAATGTTACAATGGAAGTCCATAGGAAGGCGAAAAAAAGGAAGGCCCAGAACGAGATGGTTGGATGAAGTGGAAGATGACCTGAAAACAATGAACATAAGACCCGTCCAGGGTTATGATGCCAAAAGAAGAAGAAGAATTAATTGACAACAGAAATGGATCATGTAGAAAAGTTAAGTCAAAAAATATACAGTGAAAGGGTTCTTTATACTATCATTTAAATTTGGTCAGAGTCAAGAAAGAATTTGTGTATGCAAAAGATGTTCCTAAACACCTTTATGTATAAGAGAGTGGGCGGTTTTAAACTGGGCAACAACTCAATCTAGCATGATGAGAGTAGAACTGCACATAGAGGAAAAGGAAAATGGAGATGATGGAGAGGAGAATGTACATTTACGATCGCATGTAAGCAAAAAGAAAGAAAAAAAATCACTGATACTTCACATAAAACTATTCTTAAAGAGTTCTTTAATAATTTGCCAAAGTTAGCCAAAACTACTAAAAAAATGTACTTGGAACTGAATTGGCAATCTAAAGTACAGCCTTACAGAGAATATAAGTCTTATTGTCAAACAGCAGGAAAAATAAGACCAGTGTGATTTGTGCCTTTCTTTTACTAAGGGTAACTTATCTCAAGAAAAATACTCTACTCATTTAGAGAAAAAAACTAAAGCAAGGGAAGAAAAACAATATGACAAAGGGAAACAGACAAGAGAACCACAGTGTTTACTATGGATGTACAGGTTGTGCTTTTATGCCCATCATTGAAGGTATCTGCTTTGTACTATTAAACAAAATTAAAAGTACATAATTTCTCAATTTATAACCTCAAAACTAACAACGCATCTTGTTATCTCTGGGAAGAATCCGGGGGAGGAGTAAAACTCACATTGTATAACCATTATATTATTATTATTCACATTTTATAACCACTGAAATTGACAGATCTTAATATGACAACGAGATATTGTACAGTGACGGATGCACATACCAAAATAGAACATTCTATACAATGCACTATGCCTTGTTTCACAAAAAACTGGATTGACTATAACTCAAAAATACTTAGAAAAGGGGCACACACAAATGGAGTGTGATTCGAGTCACAGTGTTATTGAAAGAAAATTAAGACATAGAGAAATATACGCTCCTGCTAGATATGTGGAAGTATGCCGTACAGCAAGACTCAACCCCAGTCCCTACAAAGTTCACTACCTGGATCACCAGTTTTTTAAAATGTACAGTAAATTTAATTTTATACCCACAATCCAACCGGGAAATAAAAACGGAGATCCTGTGGTAACTAATTTGGGGTGCATTCAATATAAGTCCTAAGATGGGGTGAAGTACAACTTCTGGTGGGGTTAAACTTTTCAGTTGAATTTTCGGATCTTCCGTGTAGGATTAAAAAGCCAGCAGCTGATCTTACATTGCACAAAACAAAAATTCCTATTTAGTCAAGGAAGTTCATTCATCTACAACAGATTAAATCTGTGTTGCCAAGAAATGTACGTATTTTTTATGATAACCTTCCTCACTACATGAAAAACTGCAGCACTATTTGTAGCGAAAGTGTGTGCTCATATATTTTAAAATAATGAATCTTAATCTGAATAAATGTTTGCATTTCTATATTGTTTATTTCTATTTTCCTAGATCTTTCTTTCAAAATGGGTAGCCTTTTATTGTTATAATCTTGATACTTATAATACACAAAACCTTGCATATAAACTAACAAGGTAAGGAAACCACATATATTCTTCAAAAACAAGAAAACCATGTAAATATAAATGGACTAAATGGATCACCTTGAATTTCATTGGTTAAAAGTGATAATATCAATTTACATAAAAAAATTTAGTATGTTTATGCTAAATGTAATATAATTACTTTGGGTTTTCAAGAAATTTTATTAAGCACTCTATTTCAAGGTGGATAATCAGTTTTTAAGGTTTTCTTTTTAAGGAGACAAAATTTTGTTTAAATAAGTAATATTTTAGAATACATAAATTGTTTTATAATTTTTAATATATCACGTAACTCAATGTGTGGGTTAAATGTGTTTAATTACTTACCTTTACTCTAGCCCCTCTAGATGTTACTTCAGATACATTAGTAACTCTGCCTTCTGCTCTAAGTTGTGAAATATGAACCAAGCCTTCCCATCTCCTTTTAAGTCCCTCCAGCTGGACAAAGCATCCAAAAGGTACAATATTTGAGACCTTTCCATTATATATCTGTCAAAATAAAAAAAAAACATATATAGATCATTAAGTTAAAAAGAAATAAAATAGTTAAAAAAGAAGCCTGTTAAATTATGAAACCTGAGCAAATAGATTAGCTTCCTCACCACTGAGATTTTTGTTTTGCCTAACAAAAATACACAAGTTTTTGCTGGTCAAAATCATATATAAAAATAATTCTTCTTCTTCATGTAGTTCTAATGTAGTTCTAATGTACCATGTCCTTTCAGAACATTGGTTACCATCATAGCTATCTTAATTTTATTCACTACCACCCTAAATAGAATGCTTGTATCAATACCATACCAATCTCACAAGTTCTTCAACCATGAGGTTCTTCTTTGTCCTGGACTACATTTGCCTGCTATTTTTCCTTGCATGATATTTTGTAGCAACCTATATTTGGGACCTCTCATTACATGTCCGAAATACTCCAGCTTTCTATACTCTTATATAAGAATAATAGCATATCAGAATTCGACTTTTTATTAACAATTAAATTGTTTCCTTTTTTATTATTGTTTTTGTCATCAGGCATAATAATATGTTCTTCTGTAACTATAAGAAGTATACTTGCTAGGCAAGGTTACCCCCATGCCAAGTTTGACTGACAATGAATTTAAGACTCCATCAAGACAACTGTTTATGTTTAATATTAAAATATTGAGAGCAGAAATTAAACAATCTAATGGCCTAATAATATATATCCTAAAGTTTCTTATTGTGTAAATGTTTTATGTGTTTCCTACAATAAACAGATTGAATAAGTTGAGAATATGTTAATTTTTTTAAATTTGTGCACTTACCTTTCCTGGAGTAGGATCTTCTTCAAATTCTGGATTATCTTTTTCACTTTTGAACTTCTTCTCAGTACTTCTTTCCCGTTTTGTGCCTCTCGAATTGCTTCTTTCTCTTCTATCTTTATCTCTAGAATAATTTTTGTATTTTCTATCCTTAGATCTGTTTCTCCTATCTCTTGATCTACTTCTTCTATCCCTTGATCTGCTTCTCCTATTCCTAGACCTACTTCTTTCCTTATTTCTTTTGCTTCTAGAACCACTTCTATCTCTTCTGTTTTTCTTCTGGTCTCTGGACCTACTTCGCCTTTTGTCCTTTTTAGAGTCCCTGTCCCTTGATTTAGATTTTCGTCTTTTTCTTGGTCTAGATCCAGATCTACTTCTTGACCTATCTGATCGTTTTCTTTCTATAGGACTTGCACTTCCAGATTTAGTTGTTGTTTGCTTTTGATTGTTTGAAGGGGCATCCGCTTCAAACTGTTTCATTAGGTCAGCTACAATGTCATCATCTTCATTTTCTCCAGCAGGTGCTTCTTCATCTATAAACAAAGGTTTTTGTTTTTCATTTGGTAAAGCTAAACCAGGAAATTTGGTAGCCAGAGTTTCTTTTAGATATACATCAGCTTCAACATGCGTTTTATTTTTCTTTGGTTTCATATGTTGAATAATTCTTAGCAAATTTGAGATGAAAGAATCTGAAAACTCAGCTCCATTTTCTATGAGTGCCTTTTTGAAAGATTCAAATGTACCATTCTTCTCGGAAAGATGAATAATAAATTCAGCTGAAATAAATAAAACAATACAGTACATATAATTAAAAAAAAATCAAAATACTATATACAATCAATATAACCTATTAAAAACCTTACCCAAATCTTTATCATTCATACCGAGATGGTTTTCTAACTCAGTACAAACCTTCGAAACCAAGGAAAGATATTCCAATTTCTGTAGTTCATCCATTTTTTTGTGATATTTTATATTAAAATATTTATAATATTTATTATTATAAAATAATGAATGTAGCTATAATATAGTGTCAAAAAAATGATGTCAAATCACAGAATACAAATTCTTCTTCTTCCTTTATTGGGTAATACCCAGGGGATAAGTTGCACAGCTAATTCAGGAGGATAATCTCAAGTTGCTCTAGACAATCAAATAATATCCCCATGTCATGTAATACTAAATTGAAATTATTTTATAAGCTTCGTCCTTGTCTCCTTTTTTCCATTTAGCAGTTATTTCTGCTATTGTTTAGTGTCTAAGATATCTTTCCCTTTATTGATTTTAGTTATTGCCTCAGGTTTTCTTGACTTCCGCCACTTACAATATATATAATTCTCAGTTAATATATTGCATATATGCTCTTAATTCTCAATTAAAATTTCATAAAATTTTTATTTTATATTCTGTCGAAATCAATTTCTATTTACGATTTTGATTGTAGAAATGAAAAAAGTTATGGAATACCAGTTAGGAGTAGTTAGGACCATTTTTATTCGACTTGGCAAATTTCGATTCGATTTTACTCATTTCTATCAAGAAGAAGAAGAAAAAGAAGAAGAAGTTTATTTATTCAAGAAATCATCTATAAACAATCAGAATGCCCGCGCACTCTGCCTGAAAAATAAGTTCGCGCATCTCATTCACGCAGACAGAATCAGCCATTTTTTAAACGGAACCAGTGCTGTTCAGTTAAATTTTATCTGATGTGCGTAGGAAAATTAACCCGATTTAATTTATTTACGGCAGCCATAGACGTAATATGCACTATTTTATTCGTACTCTTAGTTGAAGAATAGATTAAGGTATTTCAAATGTAATAAATATTAATTAAAGGTGGCTTAATAATTATAAATATATGACCCATTTATAAGAAGAAATATAACTGTCATTTGTCATTTTATATTTATTTTAAAAGTTGGTGAAACTGTTCTTCACAATCCTTTGTAGGCCGTGTATAATACGTAAAGGTTTGTTTCTTATGATATTTTAACAATCCTAAGTTTTTAGTTGTTGTGATACATTTATATAAGACAAATAGTGAATAGATCATAACATATATATGTTAGTTTGTTAATCTACATATTTATTTTCTATTTTCAGGCCAAAATGGGTAGACGACCTGCGAGGTGGTAAGTACAATAAGGTTTCTAATCTAAGTATTCAATGTTTTCATACATGACTTCTTTTCAGCTACCGTTATTGTAAAAACAAACCCTACCCCAAATCTCGTTTCTGTAGAGGTGTCCCAGATCCAAAAATTCGTATTTTCGATTTGGGTAAGAAGAAGGCTACCGTAGAAGATTTTCCTCTATGTGTACATTTAGTATCCGATGAATATGAACAGCTAAGTTCTGAAGCATTAGAAGCAGGACGTATCTGTTGTAACAAATATTTGGTAAAGAACTGTGGTAAAGATCAATTCCACATTCGTATGAGACTCCATCCTTTCCATGTTATCAGAATCAATAAGATGTTGTCATGTGCTGGAGCTGATAGGTAAGTTATTTTTCTATCATTGCGTTGTATTCTAATCATTGCCCGAAAATTCTTTTTATGGAAGAAAGTAAAATGAATGTTATGAAAGGATTTATCATTTTATTGGTAATTTTAGATAGTAGTAAATTTCAGTAATTTTACGAAGTATGGAAAGCATATTGTCAAAATAGTCATTTTTTTTGTATTGAATACTTTTTTAAAATTGTGTTTACCTTAAATTAACTTAGATACCAGTATATGAGTCATCATCATGAGTATGCATTTTTATTAAAAGTCATAATTAGTTTTAATTTATTTAATAAGTTTAAATATTTGTAATCAGATATTGACATTGGAGTATCACTCAAGTCTGGTAACTTTCTTATAATAATTGGTAATAATATTACCAGTGTAGTATCATTGCATTTGAAAATATTTGCTTTATTAAAGTATGTTCAAAGCATTGTCATAGTATTTCTCTAATTTTTCTTTTGATATAACTAACATTTCTGTTCATTTCTATAGTATGAGTCCTGATTTGGTCTCACTATTAAGATAAATGTAACCTAATCTTTAACCTCATCAATATTTCAACACAATTTTAAGATATTTAATATTAAGGCGAAGTAGTGCACAGTCCATAGTTAATTTTCTTTTAATACCAATAAATTAGGCAGTATTTCATGAACATTTCTACTCTCAAGAAATACATAACCCAGAACTTCATAAAATTTATCTCCATGTTCAACCAAGACATATGTATGTGGACGATTTTCACATTTGGTCCCATTGAAGATAGCCTCAAATTAAATAGCTGTCAATTAAGTTTCACAGAACGAAATATTGCGCTGGCAGTGTTGTCATGTTATTAGAATGTATATGTTATATGCTTCAAATACAAAGACATAAAGCTTTTAAAAGGTACATTTTTATCATATTATTTTATGGATTCTGCAATTTTATATCTTATATAAAATATTAATGAAGTAATATTTGTTTCGTTTGATATTAGGGTAATTATTTACTAAGCCGGAACGCCTTAAAAATGCCCAATTTTTTGTGGAATTAGCCGAAAAAGTGAAAAAACCCTCAAATTTTAATGTTTTCTTTGCTTTAAACTATTAAAAGTGCCCAAATAATAAAAAAAATCTGAAAAAATACCAAAAAAAGTATTATTAGCCAAAAAAAAATTACATAAAAAGCAAAGAAAAGTATATATACATGTCATAATAAAAAAACGTAACTAAAACGTATTAAATATCACTATTTTTACTGTAAAATTATGAAAAAATGCGTAAAATTGTTTAAAATAATCAAGATTTTTAATATTTCTAAACAATATGGCGGCCATGCGCAAGAAGTTAAATTTTATCTACATTTGACATTGTTGTCAGTTTTAATTTCATATTTTTCTTTATATTTTATTATTAAAAATGCAAACCAATAAACCAAATCTAACCCAATAAGAAAACATGGCAATAAAACTAAACCAACCTAACCTAACCCAACGCTAGTAAAAAACAGTAATAAGAATAAAATTTTGTAATATAATTAAAAATCAAATTTTTTATTTTTCATGAGAAAATATGATAATAAACGTAAAGAAACGTAACCAAACCTAACCTGACCCTTGTAAAAAAGGTTAATTTTCAGTTAAAAGTAGGTAATAATAAAATGTTATTTTAATGTCTAATTTGAAATTCATTAGAAAACATAATTTTGAATAACTATGGCAACACTGGTTAAAATTACCATTTTGACCATAAGAAACAGTTGTCATTCCTGTCATTTATTGTTGTTTCATGGTAAATAATGGCGAATAATGGCGGCGGCTTTTAAAAATCGGGCATATTTTAAATGGAAATTACATAAAAAATAACGTCTTGCACCGCATAAAAGTCATTGCACAATCATTAGTAAGTGAAGCAGAATTCATTAATATAAATTTCATCTCCGTAAACATGGTTCCGGCTTATTACACTAGTACCGATATTAGTTGTAATAAATTATCAGAAATTTTTTTTGGCAATTGCCCTTTGGTAGGTTAGTGGATAGATTTGGCAATAGAGTCAGATCCCTCAAACCACCAGCTGCCAGATTGCAAAAGTTGCCTTTTAAATTTTATTATTTTTACTGACATTTTACTATTTACTGTTAAAAACTGTTTTAAAACTATTTACTTTTTCTTTTTTTCGTAATCATTAAATATTAGTTTTTAAATATGTTATTGCTTTTAATTACGTATGTTTTGTTTGTAATGTAAATTTCAACACTGCGAAACACAAATATTTCATTCTGTCAAACCCATTTGAAGCTATCTTCAATGGGACCAAATGTAAAAATCGTCCTGTATGTGATAGGCAGAGTAGGGTATGTTCCATTCTGTAATTAATTACATAGAACAACAGCTATGGTTACAACTAACTGTTGGGCAATACTCAGTTTAGGGCATTCTACATAATAATATATTTTCCTCAAGGCACTGCATCACAGTGTTGCAGTATTTATTTTAGTAAAATATGTATATGAATGTTAGAAATATAAAGTTACTTTTACAAAATAATAATTTGTGTTTGAGAAGCAACAAATTTTAAATAAGTATAAAACTTGCCATATATTTTTTTTATTTTAAATGTATATGAAGGTTTAAAATATAAGTTAATTTTATGAAATTGATTTGTATTATGAGAAGCTACAAGTTTTGAATAAGTATAAAACAAATATTTTCTGTTACTTTAAATGCAGAAATATTGTAAATTAGCACATCTTTATAGTATATGCATTTGATTATTATCTTTAATTTATCTAAAATCTATGAATTTTTATATAATTTCAATGCCTTTCTATAATATTATGTGAGAGTATGAAAAAACTGGAGACTTGGCAACTCTGACACCATTTAAGCTATGTTAAATGTCATATAAAAGTTTGGTTATGTAGAGTGTCCTAAACTGAGTATTGTCCAACTTTTACCTAGACTAGCTTAGTCAACAGATGAGCCAATCTTTGTTGTATTGAAATTGCTTTGTTGAGGCTAACAAATTTAAAAATGATTTAATAGATGAAAATGCTAGGTACCTATATTTAACACTTTCGCTTCAGAACTTTATTTAATAACCGTCCCCTATGCAACATGAACTTTTTAATAGCAGATTCAATATGCAGATAATGACAGATTGCATTTTCAGTAATCTTTTCCAGTAATTTTTCTTTCAGGCAGTGTTCTTTTAATTAATCTATTAAAAAAGGGATAAAAGTGGAAGCTTGTAAGTCACTGTGTGTCTCATTCCACCAAAAGTTCGTACAGTGTTTGGATAATACATTAAAGACAGTAAAATTGTAACAACACAATTTGGTTTTGTAGTATAATGCTGAAGCTTTTGTTAAAAGTGACAATTTTACTGCTTTAACATCAATGGTCAATACTCTTCTTCTTTGTAACTACTACCTTGAATTATCTTTCAACTTAATTTTGTTAATTGTACCATGTTTATCATCCTTTATTTGTCATCATTGCTGTATTTCTCACAGTTGCTCAATATAACGCTTTTATCTAAATGACTATCTAGTTTTACTCAGTTGTGGACCATGAATTCAGTAAGCCTGGGGGTATTTAAAAACTTCTTGCATACTACTTTTTTCTCATCTTGAAGGTTTAAAGTACAGACATAGGAATAACAGTGATGTGACGAACTTTCAGGCTCAATAGATGTCTTTTTTAGGAACTTGATTAACTAATGGAGCAACAAAAATTTATTATTCTTTTTAGTCTAATTCTTTCCAAAAGCAATTAAAAATTGCTTTTTCTATCCTGATCTGTAAATTTTTCACAGTGTAGATTTCGTACATCCTTATACTTTTTAGAGCCACAACCATGATACATTCGCTGCGATCAGGTACACATATAACTTTACCTTGCTTATCTCTTCGGTACCCCACAAATTTTTTTCCGCTCATCCGAGCATTTTTGGCTACATTTACTTTCCATTTATCTGGCCTAACTTTCTTGTGGCGTTTCTTTATTCCTAGATACACTAGTTTCCCTAGAAGTTGTAGGCTGACAGATTTATTTCAAACTCATCGGATTTAGGTACAGTTTGTAACAGGTAGCTCTTTCGCGACGACAGACTAAAACACAGGTTGAAATAAAAATAAATCTATTGGTTTAACATACGTACAATAAAAAATAAAAATAAAATTAATTCTACCTCGTATATACAATAAAAATAAAACGAATCCTTCGTCCCCGTCTGGATCCCGCGATAAAGGAATCCCCGGCGAACGTCTATAAAAGAAAGAAAAAGTTATTAATAACAAAACAAATAAAATCGGTGAAATCAATCGCACGCAGACTTATACTCGCTTCCGCTTCAATTCAGCGGGAGCTCCGAACACACTCACAAACTAAATATTCGGCTGTGCAGGCCCCACGGTAAAGTTCAATATACAATACCGATAGGTTCTGCTTGGTTAAGGACAGAGTATGATCCTCAATACGGAAATATCTCTGTCCGGGTTGGCTCGCCGGTTCAGTACACCGGCGAATCGAGGAGCCTAGAGCGCTAGCTGCAAGACTGACTAATGCCTCTACTCACATGCCTTAAATAGTCGCTCCGAATCCCACTCACCATCTCGCTGAAGAGGTGGATGCGTCAATCTTGATACTCCCACGGTGTAAACTGTTAACGATGACAACATCGTTACAAGTTTCTAAAGTCTGATGTTCTCCACAATTTGATTTAAGTCGATTTCATGTAATACACATCAAGATGCTGGTATGGAAGATGTAGGATGTGGAATCCGTATGGAAAATGTAGACTAATCTAGCTTTATATCAGACACATCGGACTTAGCACAGTATCTAGTAACGATATGAAACTAATGTTTTCAACAAAATTGCACTATTAAACACTGCAATAAATGCAAAGCCAGCAATTCATATGTTTTAGGTTAGAATATACACATGCTGTTGTTCAGAGTTCATAGGTAGCGTGACTGATACGAGCTATTAGAACTCAAATTTAGCAGAACACTTTAACATGGTCTTAGAATTTATCAAATATGTGGTATTAGAACATATTTGCGAAAGAATCTGATCCATGCTTTTACAAATTTATACATAATGTACTAAATAATGTGTTCTGGTACTTGGGATTAGAATCATTAGATAGATCATACGCAATAGACTAAGAATCAATTTCTAACTCATTTTGTCTAAAAATTCTCATATGTGGTATTGGAATGTAGGTAGCGATATGCTACTCTTGTTTAAATCTCAATTATCTTTTGATTTTTGGTTAGTTAAATTTATACTAGTCAAAAACTTCACACATATGAACTTAATTACCAAAAAGTATGAACTTATCAAATTTTTAGGCTTCCTTTTAGGAAGCATTCCTAGACAAAAGATTATTTCAGTTATGATTTCTAATTGAGTACCAGAAATTCAATAGAGGTAGATACTAAGAGTAATGACATTAAAAACTTTTTAAGAGCATATTGTTGTTTCAGATGATAAGCAAAAATAATTCATATCATTAATGTAGTATAGTATGTGTACTGTATTGCTGTGTCATCTATATAGCTGTATCAGTATAATATAATTTATACATTATAAAAAAATTAACATGATTTTGATAAGGATATTAAACAATGAATATTTCTAAATTTTTAAACTGTACAATTAAAGGTAAACTTCAAAATTTTGTTTACAATGTATTTTTTACTATGAACAAGTACATGATGACACACATGGAAAAGACAATGGACTTGATGACACACATTTAAATTCATGTATCATTGCAGATATAATAAATTTTACTAATAATAGAATATTTATTGGCATGTGTAAATATACTTTTACATACTTAAATTTAAATTGCTACATTTTATTGTTACTTAAAAAGTTGTCAATGAATTAAAAATATTTTTCCTTTTAGACTCCAGACTGGAATGAGAGGAGCTTTTGGCAAGCCCCAGGGTACAGTTGCTCGTGTGCGTATTGGTCAACCTATTATGAGTGTACGCTCTAGTGATCGTTTCAAGGCTGCAGTTATTGAAGCTCTCCGTCGTGCCAAGTTCAAGTTCCCAGGTCGTCAAAAGATCTATGTATCAAAGAAATGGGGATTCACCAAGTATGAACGTGAACAATATGAAAATCTAAAACAACAAGGTAGATTAGCTCCTGATGGTTGTAATGTTCAATACAGGCCAGAGCATGGACCTTTAGCAGCATGGAAGAAGGTTCAAGATGACATCTATGCTTAAGTTTATTTTTTCATATAAATTTATTTGAAATAAATTTATCAATTTATCTTTTAGTTGTTTATATTTTTATTCCTACAAATTTTCTAAATGTGCCAGTAATGTTTCTGGCAAGTGATAAAATAATTATTTAAATGAATAAAGTGGAGAGGCAATTCTTAATCCTGACATTGGCATCACAGTAATAGTGAGTCATATGGACATATGTCAATAATGTACAACCAAATAAACACCATGTATTAACTGAGAATATGTATAACAGCAGCTGTAAATGTCATCTTTAGTATATTTGTTGATTTAACAGGACACTTAGACAGACAATGCTCAATCAGCAAATCACATAGTTGCAACACAAGATTGTGCTGTGCTCCCAATTTTGATGTAACATAGATTCATGTTACTATTCTTTGTTTCAAGTTAAGAAAATAACATTATGCTTATGGAGATCAGTGTTGCCAAAACTCTCAGACACTCTCTTTTGCACGGATGTCCAAGATATTCCCTTTGCTTAATTTTTGAATTTTTATTTTCAATTAACATTTAACTGTAAAGTCAGAATAACTACTAAATAAAAGCCTTAGTATCATTATATAGTCAGAAAACGACATAAAATCGCTGACATACGCACATCCTATTATTTTAAGTTGCAATTAGTAATTAGATATATGCATTCCAAGCGGTCAATATTTTCTACTGATTTCTAAGATTCATGGCATATCATATTCTCACCGAAAAACAAATAAACTGTCGTTACTATAATTAAAATAAGATAAAATAAAATTATCTTTTGTATATACTATTTATCTAATTAAAATCATTTTCCCTACTTTTCATCTCTTGTTTCGAATGGGCACTTTTGGTCAGTTACGTTAAACATTAAAAAACATTAATTTAATTCATGTTTGTGGAAACGAAAATACAAATTATACAACCCTAACTTGTTCTTGTGTGTGTCGTGGCAACGCCGCGTTGCTATCGTCCATAAGAAATACATGGCCCTATCTCCGCAATGTTATTTTCTAAACGTGGAACGTAGAGTAGCATATATACTCTACAAGGTCATTGGTGTTCATAGTTTATTTAGTATCCTAATAATAGTGTTCTAATTCAATACTTTTTTGTTTATTTGCTCTGAACTGATCTCTGGGAAACATCTAAAATTGCAAAGGTCCATTGAAAGGTAATTTTGATTAAGATAATGTTTTGTTGGATACTGCCCAAATTAAGCCTCTTCCGAGTACATGTCTCTTCAGCTGCTCTCCTCTGGTTATCTACCCTCAACATCTCTTAACATTGGTGCTCACTTTGTTTAACCACCTCTTCCTTGGTCTTCTCACTGTCTATCTAGTATCACTATATTTCCAATAAGTGTTATTATCCATTCTTATAAGATGACCTGCCCTTTGTAATATTGATCATGGTTTAGCCTTATTCTCTACACACCATTGCTGTTGAAGTGTCTCAATTACTTTCAAAAGTATTAATATGTTGTTTTTTCTGCCATGATACATGTTTCTGTGCCATATGTGGCTATTTTATAAACTTACACACTTACTGTACCACATTTTGAAGTTTTAGCTGGTTATGTAAGTAAAATTTGTTATGGTTTTTGGATGCATAGCTTTCTTATTGCAGGCTATGGACAGAATGGATTGATCAGTCCAATGGATCGCGCAGAGACGCATGCGTTTTTCCTAATAAACTAAATTATAAATCATCGCTCTGTGTGTAGACGACATAAAAGCTATGCTCCCCCTTCTCAGTCACTCCTAGAGTGCCACATCCGTTTTTTTATCACTTAAATTGATTGATGTAATTTTCGCCATTTTACGGAACACTAAGATCAACAAAGTAGATACTTAAATTAAGCTGTCATGAGTTTGTGGAAAATATGACTGATTTAGAAGATCATATTTATGACTTGTGATTCAAGTGCAGAAGAAATTATTAAAAATTATAAATACAACAGCTAATCTGTTCTGAAACTATTTTCTTGTGGCATCTTAATGAAATTACTATTTTTATTGGGAATAAGACAAAATTTACATAAATATTAATAAAGACATTTATTTTTGAAGTTTTGATTTCGACTTCGGAAATCGTTGTCAAAAGACAAAAAAAAATTTGTTTTTAGTTTAACTGGAGAATATTCGTCAGGGAAAATCATAGTATGTGATTTACGTCTTTAAAATGACAACCATATGCAACAATGACAGTAAAATTCTCCTGATATTGATTTCATAGTAAATAATGAAGAAAAAAACCTCAAGACTATCCCGACCTGCTAAGTATTTGGTCTTACATTTAGTTTCAATATTACTTTCCTAAGTATAAGCATTAAACCCTGATTGTATATGTATGTTATTTACAAACATAAATGATGTATCCTCGACATGATAGTGACTTACTAATAGTGGTATTTTCTTTTTATTGATTTCCACTTTTAGTATGGGTAATCACATCCTAATACTGTATATTTTCAACGCTATTATAAAAATTGGTTACTTCCTGTCGTGTGGAAAGTAGCTAAATTAATTATGGTGCGAAATCCTGGCAACGGCCCACATGAGGTCTGATCATACTGACCGATAAGTCTTCTACGAACTTCCTTACGAAGATCCTTATGCTTAGAGTCGAACCTATTATCTTGGAAAATAACTAAATACCAAACTACCAATATGGCTTTAGACAAAAACATGGTACCATCGAGCAAATATATAGAGTACCTAGTCAGAACAGCTAGAGATGCTCTTGAATACAAGTCTTAGAGTATAGCTGCTTTTTCCAGCTGTCTAACTTGCAAAATTAAGTCGCAGCTATCTGATCTCATAGCCAAAATTCTACAGTCATATATTACAGTTCCTCAAGGTAGTGTGTTACTCGGCTCAACCCTGTATTTACTGTATTCAGCTGATACCACTACCACAAATAATACTTTTTTTTTCTTTATAGAGGGGGTCCTTAGTGCAGGATCCGGAAGCGGAATGGCCGCTGTAAGGCTGGCATCACTCCGAAGCACTACCTTTATTAATTAATTCTCCATTCATACTGCCGAGTAATCACATCCTACTGATGAGGAATTTGCGAAGCAATTGATTTCATTTAGCATAATTCGACCGCTAAATATTGATATTTACCAACCCACAAAAAAGAAGAATATAGAGTATTATGTAAATTTGAATTGGAAAAGTCTAATAAAATTAAACAGAACAAGCAAATAGGAACTAAAGACTGTAAGAACTTTAAAAAATGACAACTCCGTAATTATCCTATCAGCAGAAGTGGAATGCAACTGTGAAAATGAATAAAATTCAATATTAAAACAAAATTAAAGCCCAATAACAAACAGATCTTATACAAAAGTAAAAAGGATCAAACGAAGCCTTTGCAAAATAGAATATATAGAATTTAATTCAAGTTTATTTAACAAATTATCAAAGAAGATTAATTACACCTCATTACATCAAGGCACCTCATTTTTATTGAGCACTCAGACCTAAGTATAGTACCATTGATTCTCCTTCAAGTGAAAATCAGAGTTTGGTGTTTATTAAGAGTAGGGAAAGATGTTTAACAGTGAACCAGTGGAGTACAGTGAACCACCGAAATATTAGGAAATCTGGCAAGGCCAGACACTTGCGTTCTACGAATATTAATCACAGCACAGTTGACTACAAATCCATCCGGTCAGTTAGCCGGCACGTGACAAAGTTTATAGGAGGTGCGTCGGCGAGTTCATTATTGTTTTAGATGGAAAAATTTATATACATATTTAAAGTAAGTATTACGATTTTTAATGTCTTTGCGTTGATTATATTTAAGAGCAAACCTTTTACATAGGTAATTTTCTATAGGTATTTGGCCATACTTATGTAAAATAGTTGCAATTGTGTTAAGCTTTTTTCTTATTTTTTCTAACCTAAAATATAATAATGTACAGTTTGATACACAGTGAATCAATCGATCCTGTTTCACAGTAAACCGGTTCACTGTGGACCAGATACTTTTTTGTGAGTGTAACTTAGTTAATTTTACTTAAAAAGTACATTTATGTTTATTGTTTTTATTTATTAGACTCGAACTAATACGTTCTAGAATAACAATTTTACGTTTTTATTTTCTAGAATGTCGCGAAACAAAACTAAGAAATGAAAAATTGGAGCAACTACACAGGAAATTATGAGAAAGGCTTTAGAAGCTGTAGAAAAAGGCATGAGTATACGAAAAGCAGCTAAAGACGCAGAAATTCCTTATCATACAGTTCGCCTCTATGTAAAAAAAGAGAAGATCAAGGCAACATTTCTTTGGTTCCCAACTACGAAGTAAATCGGGTTTTTTCTTCGAAGTAGAAGAATTCGTCACGTCACTCCTCGGATGACCTGTATAAATGCGACTAATAGCATCAGTAGAATGCAAATCTATGATGTGGAACCACTTTGTTTCACTTTTTGTGTTGAAATTTATTCGAGGAAGCATTTCAAGTATAATAATCAGGCATCTCAGAATGGAACAACGTTAGTACAAATGGCTTGATTAATAAATGGAAGAGAAACTAGTTAAACGTTGTCTCTGGGGGTATATCAGCACGTTGAGCATTTGAGAGTGAAATCAACGCTTTGATTGTTCTCCAAATGCGCTGCCAAATGTACAACAGTGGGATGACACATATCGGCTAATTTGATAGTAACTACCTCATATCGCTGCATTTTTTACCTATTTGATAAATGTATTTGATGGACTTCAATGAATTGCAAGATACCATGTTGGAATGAGCTTTGAACGTTTTATACAGAAGTCAAATTAACTGATTTATTACAAGATTTTCATGGATAGGTTTAATTATTGTGTAAAATGTTGGATATTTAAAAGTTCAACATAATTTTATTATATGCTTTTTTTTTCAAGACATATCATTAGGAGCGCACATGGTCAAATGGTATAGCTGCCCTTAATTCTAAAGCTAAAACTTTGAAATTGATAAAAAACGACAAAAAAAATTTAACGCTATGAAAATGAACACATTATAAATAACATGTAAAATATACAAACA